CCTGATGAGTCGGTGAAACTCCGACGAAACAGTTTGTCACAGCCCCTCGTTTGTTGTCCTCTTCTCCCTCTCTGCCTACGGTTTACCGGGCAGTTCTATTTGACGATATATATATATATATATATGTGTGTGTGTGTGTTTTATTTTCCACAATATCGCTGGCATAATACTGTCATACTGTGTCACAATCATGATGGTCTCCCGTCGATACTCTTCAAAAGATACAGCCCACAATTTTTACCAAAATTGTTGCAGATCTGCAGGTCAACATGGGCAGGGGCACCATTGATTTCGGGAGTGCTTGAAGGAATCGTTACCTTTGTGCCGAAAAGAGGAGATCTCACTGACATTCGTAACTACCGTCCGATAACACTGATGCCGACGATTTATCAAATTTACAGTAAAATACTTGCGGCTAGACTCCAAACAGTGTTGCCAAGTCTGATATACCCGACTCAGACTGGGTTTTTACCGGACAAACAAATCCTTCACAATGTAATGACGGTGCAGCAAGTGATGCAGATAGTGTCGGAAGGGGAGGAACAATTGGCTATAATTCTGTTGGACCTTGAAAAACTATATGACCGTGTAGGATGGGAATTCCTTAGAGCGGTTATGGTCACATTTGGATTTGGACCCAGGTGCATAAATGTTGTTATGGCGTTACTCCTGAATGCCACATCCATACTGTCAGTCAATGACTCTTTCTCTCGCCCTATACTTCTATCCAGATCTGTCCAACAGGGGTGCCCGGTGGCACCCTACCTGTACATAATGTATGTTGAGATCCTCCATGTACTAATAAGGAATAATCCTCAAATACCAGGTTTCTTACTCCCCTCATGACACTCTCTCAAATCTGAGGGTTTTGCAGATGACTTTGTAGTGATCACCCTATAACCGATCAAGCTTTTTCCGCCCTCAAAGATACGATACAACTTTTTTGTCATATTTCACAAGCAGCTGTCAACTGGACCAAATCCTCAGTCCTAATTCCACCTGGGGTTCCCCCCCCAGATTGGGGACTGAGGGTGGTGGTGCCAACTCAACACGATCGACTGTTGGGACATAAGATATCCTTCGATCCTCAGATAATGTCAGATGCATCCCAAGCTCTGACAGCGATTAGAACAGCATTACAACAGTGGATCAGACAAAAAGGAGTTAGTTTATTCGGCTGTGTGATAGTTATAAATAACTCAGTTCTGTCAACAATCTGGTACCACAGAGTTGTTTTCCAATTGGATTCAACAACCCTTAGAGCCATACGTAGTCTGTTGAGTCACTACCTATGGAAGGAACAAATCAATGATGATAACTTCCTCCCTAAGGTAGCATGGGAAGTGATTACACAAACTAAAAGGAGTGGTGGACTCTCGGTGCTTGACCCGGAACGTCAGATAGCGGCCTTACTGGCCAGGTGGGTTCCTTGGGCGGTGTTGGCAGGCCCTTTCGTTGCATGGACACAGTTAGCACAATTTGAGATTTTTACATACAGAAACTGGCATGATGTCAGACACCTGTGGTTGTCAACCTTCTTTGCTACTTATTTGAGGAAAAGGATGCCCAATGGAATCTGGGCAGGAATAAGTAAAGCTTGGCTTCAAGTGCTCCCACAACTTCAAGTTCCACCATTGATAATGGACCGGATTCTCACACAACCCCTATTTGAGAACCCGGCTATTTTGTTTCAGAATGGGGAGTTGTTTCATCTCTTTGGACCCGGAGCATTTGGGGATGCCTGGATGTCACGAGGGATACGAACACTTGCAGATATATGGGATGTCCAAAGTACGAATTGGAAACCTTTCTCAGAACTTGCCCCGGCTCTGATTGGCCTGTGGCACCAAAGACAACATCTATCCCTGCTTCAATAGGCGGTGCCGCAGGAATGGATGGACATACTACGAAGAGGGCTCCAATACGAGAAAGGCATGTGGTATAAGATTCACGATGAACAAAAGCCATTACTTGTTTGGAAGAAGGAGGAGTATTCACCAGTGGCTGACACTCCGTTCTCCTGTTGGGAGACCCATGGAGGAAGAACAGAGATGGGGGGCGAACTTACTCTTGCTCCACAACAGTTACCGATCCCCCCTCTCGCAAACCTGACCCCAGTCTGTGTGTTGGAGTACAGCGACAGCTATAGACCATATTGCCTGTCCCTCCCTGCATACCAATTGTCTGTGGACCCGAGAAACTGGGCATGGAAGAACCCGAAGCAGAGACATCAATTGATACCGATGCACCAGTACTCGACTAAATTGGGGTACCAGCTGGCGACACCGGAGATCGACATTAACTGGAAGGTGGYCAACAGATGGATGAACACAAATTGGATACAAGACTCGYTGCTGCGCATAGTGCAAGCATTACCACATTTCTGGAAAATATTAATGGATTTGGCAGTTGTAAAGCATRYGAGCCTCCTGTGGTTGATAATGCACCAGGCAATTYCAGTGGCAGCCWGGTGCTCCAGACGAACTTCAAAAGCGGACCCAAGATGTGAAATATGCCCGGGGACGAGAGTGGAAGATTTGCAGCACTTTGCCCTTYTTTGTGACCTCTCCCAACCCTTTTGGGCTTGGTGGAGGGGTGGTTCAGTGCCGGTTCCGGGACCCCATACTCGGTGGACAGACCACTTTGTACTCATGGGGACAGTCGCTCGAAGATCCCAGCGCGAAGACCGACTGTACTATGCTGAGGAGACAATGAGAGGAGCTATACTTTGGACCCTATGGACACTGCGAAACTCAGTGGTGAGAAGAGGGGAACACTTCATCCCACCGATGGTTAGAGCGGAGGTCAAGCTTGGAATAAAACAAGCGATTTTGGCAGACTGGGAATATAAAGTGCAAAAAAAAGGATACTCTGCGAAGTCCCTCAAACTGTTTATAAGTAGATGGGGAGCATTCACGGAACTGCTGAAAGTGACTCGGCCTTAAAGGAAGCTGCCAGAAGTTAGATTTTCAGCATTCGTTTTATGAAAGCCCCCCCCTTTTTTTTTTTTTTTTTTTTTTTTGAGACTTATAGAAGACAAGACACTTGAAGAAGTGTAATTTTAGTATGAGTACAGTTTTTAACTGTGCATAGTAGTAGATAGAGTGAGTACAGGGGGTGTGCATAGGGAGTGCACATAGGGAATGTAGGTTCATGAGACGGTTTTAGTTTTGCTGCGGTGGGGTTAAGCCTGGGCGGAGTGCCTGGCTCATCCCTGTGGCTGCAGCTATATATGTGAGGGATGCTGGGCCCGCTTCGCATCTTATATAATAAAAATGGAACCTTCTCTTTAAATAAAAAAAAAAAAAAAAAAAAAAAAAACAATACACGGCAATCAAGACAGACCACTAATATATAAGTATTAATACAAGCAATAAAGCAGTAATAATGATTATAACATAATACAATGTACCGTTCAACATAACTCTGTACATATTAGAGACAAAAAATGAACAGGATGCATAATATCGTTTGAAAGATTACGCAAGTCAAGAAATCGACATGTGCACTGCAATGGACTGGACCAGACATATACACGGAAGAAAATACAGGATTTCGCCCCCAAGAAAAAAAAAAAAAAAAAAACAGGATTTCGCCCCGAAGAAACAGAACATAGTGGGTAAAAGGGGAAAGAAGGCACCTACCACACCCGCCCACCGACAAGCTCTAGGTGTAAAAGATAAAGATTGATCTTACAACGACCAGACGCACACATCAGAGGTGACGTCAACAAAATAATCCGTGCGCCCAACCCGCTACTGATGTTTTTCTCGCCGTCGCTATACGCCCACGGTTGCGCCCTCTTGATTGCCGCAATCACCCCCGTCCTTCGCGCCATTACCTGTTCCCCCAATACACCTTCCCGTACCTTCCCACCATTGCACCTTCCCACCATTGCACCCTCCCGCCATTGCACCTTCCCGCCATTGCACTTTCCCGACATTACACCTTCTCGCCATTGCGCCTTCCCGCTCCGTAGCCGGTGCTTTGCAGACATGGCTCGCACGTCGCAAGGCACGTTTGTCCGCCCCGTAGTAAACCGTTCTAAGTGCAACTATCATCTCCTTACAATAGAACGCACGGGCGTTAATTGCTCGATCTGTTGCGTCGCGCGCTCAATACAGTAGAATTAGCGCCCATGTGGTCACTCGTAGTACAAGTTTTCTTCTCACGTTTTTCATCATCATCATCACTAACCACCATCATCACCATTGTCACCACCATAATCGTTTGCTTCTTCCTCGATTACCCCTTCGTCCTCGCCCTCCACATCTTCAACCTCCAGTCACTCTTCCTCCTCCTCCTGCGCCTTCCCGCTCCGTAGCCAGCGCTTTGCAGACATGGCTCGCACGTCGCAAGGCACGTTCATCCGCCCCGTAGGAAACCGTACCAAGTGCAACTATCATCTCCTTACAATAGAACGCACGAGCATTAATTGCTCGATTTGCTGCGTCGCGCGCTCAATAAAGTAGAACTACCGCCCACGCGGTCACTCGTAGTACAAGTTTTTTTCTCACGTTTTTCATCATCATCATCACTAACCACCATCATCACCATTGTTACTACCATAATCGTCTGCTTCTTCCTCGATTTCCCTTCGTCATCGCCCTCCACATCTTGAACCTCCAGTCACTCCTCCTCCTCCTCCTCTTCCTCCTTGCCACCCCTCCTCCTCCTCCTCTTCCTCCTCGCCACCCCCTCCTCCTCCTCCTCTTCCTACTTGCGACCCCCTCTTCCTCCTCGCTATCCCCTGTTCCTCCTCATTGCCTCTTCCTCTTCCTTGCGACCCCCTCTTCCTCCTCGCACCCCCTCTTCCTTGCGACCCCCTCTTCCTTGCGACCCCCTCTTCCTTGCGACCCGCTCTTCCTGCTCTCGCTAGAATGTTCGTCTGTCTCGAAGCCTCCAAAAAAAAGACCGATTTCGACAACAGAGTTTCGTCGTCGGGAGCATCAACCTCAACAATAAGGATGGATCTAGGTAATGGTTTTCGGACACGCCCAAACTAAGCGGCACCTACTTTGCAGCGTGTGTGCATGTCCTCCCAGGTGTCTGTGCGCTCGTGCGTACTCGCATGCGAAGGACAGAAGAAGACCAACGAGTTAGACAAAAGAAGAAAGAACGTGGGTGGCGGAGGTTAGGAAATTACCTCTCCAAGTTGTGAAGGGCACTGAAGGCTTTCAAGAACGGCTCTCAGAATTCCGAGCGCTCATGAGATCTGCACGTCACACAGACTGCTTGGAGGAACAACACCACGATGCAACGTATGCACCCCATAGACACGAACAGACACAGACTGACCATACAGAAAAAGCAACGAACGAATACTGCGGCGCGCTGAGGCAAGACTGACCATAAAGAGACGATCTGCACGTTACACAGGCTCTGTCTCTTATACACATCTAGATGTGTATAAGAGAACAGACACAGACTGACCATACAGAGAAAGCAACGAACGGATACTGCGGTGCACAGAGGCATAGACTGACCATACAAAGACGACAACGAGAGGATACTGCGGCGCACTAAGTGATCGTACTGAACAGGAACAAAGACTGCAGCGTGCTACACGGATATAAACTCTGGCCACCCCACAGGCTACACGGCATCATGATGTCGACTGAGCAATTGCACTGAACGGGCAGAAATTGTCAACAAGAATGTACCCGTGCTCACGGGCACATGTGAGGATATAGGGCCTCCCCAAACCACGCTCGAAATGTGAAGAAGACAAAAATGTGGCGGGTGCAAGTTGATTCTTATTTTGCACAATTCGATAGTGGTGTGGCTATGCCCATACTCAAGCTGACAGTTTCTGCTCGTTCGGGCGGTTTGTTCGTTGAACTGAAAATACAACCGTCCGTCCAAAATGGGTAGGCGGGGAAAATGAGGGCTTACTAGTAGTCCCGCTCTTTCCAAAATTTGAAGTCCGTCCTTGCCAAAAAACAATTCGGGGAAAAGGAGGGCTTAGTAGTCCCGCTGTTTTTTTTTTTTTTTTTTTTTTTTTTTTTTTTATTTATTGATTGATTTGTGGGCATGCTGGAAACCGGGTCCCCCGCCCATAAATACATCTTTTTTTGAAACTTCGATCATAACCATAATTAAGAATTCCTTTTTTTAATGTTATATTTTTCTCTCAATTTCACCTCACACTACCTACCTACCACTACTCCTAATTGTAGGCATACGTGGAACCCCGTAGCAGCCAGAACCGTGTTCATGAGAGAACATGCGGGGGCTGCTCCCGACTTGCAGGTGGGCGATACCGGCTAGGGGACAACCGGTAGCATCAGGGACTATGCCAACAGGACCAATCCCTGTGCCTCCCCTCAGGTGCCCTCCCCTACGAAGATCAGCAGACTCTGCTCAATGCTCAATGCCGATCGGGGGATCCAGTGGTCTATCTCTAGGTGGCGGGCTCATATAATTTGAGAAGTAGCGCGCCTGTGAACATAGGAACAATCATCCACAGACTCTTTGCAAGTGATAGGGCCAGTCATATTCCCCATTTTTATTTATTTTTTTACGACTGAAAGTTATCATATGGAAGGAAAAAAATGAAGTTAGATTGAAAATATAGCTTTCAAACATACTAAAACTGAAAGTCGTTATATGGAAGGAAAAATTTTAAGTTAGGTGGAAAATCTAGTTTTTAATCAAACTTTCAGTTTATAAAATTTATGTTGCAGTTCACACATAACTCAAAGGGAGGGGGAAGAAAATACACGGATTTATCCCAATTAATTGAGGCTTCTGATAGGGTACTATACTCTTCTATAACTCTATGTAGTTCATTCACACTGGAAACTGAGTCTTCACAAGCAATTGTCAAGTCATCTGCTATTGCTCCCCCTCTCCATTGAAAGTTGGGGGACAAGCGCAGACCCACAATCTGTTGGTTAGTTCTTATATTAGCTAAGAAGACTTCCAATTATAGGACAAAAATTAATGGCACTAGGGGGTAGCCCTGGCACAAGGAACGGGTCAAGCTAAATTTGTCTGACTGGTGACTGTTTACCAGTACAGTGGTTGTTTCCCTAAAGGACATTGCTTTCATCCAAAGACGAAAATGGTCCCCAAATCCCATATTCAAAAGGGTGGTGTTGACGAAAGTCAATCCTACTTTGTCATAGGTTTTTTCCATGTCAAGCATAAGGATTGCCACCTTCCTTTTTTCTTTCCCAATTATATCTAGAGCCTGCACTGTGGCCATAATATTATCAAAGATTGATCTCCCTTTGACAAAGGCCCCTTGTTCAAGGCCCACCAGGTGAGGCAGGACTGAGGTCAGTTTTAAGGCTAGTATTGACCAACAGTTTGTATGATATGTTCAAAACTGAAAATGGGCGCCAGTTTCGTACTTCTCTTTTATCCCTTTTCTTATACAATAAGGAGATCATGCCATTAACCAATCCTTTAGGCAAGGTACCTGAAGAAAGGGTTTCATTGTAAATGTCGCAGAAAAACTGTCAAAAAACTTCCCAAGGTGACAAAAAGAACTCAATTGGAAGACCATCTAGGCCGGGGCATTTACCCTTGGCCATTTGACGTGCTGCATGTGTTGCTTCTTCAAACGTGATTGGGCTATCGAGATCTATCATAGTCTGTGCTGAAATACAGTTAGCAATGTGCCCCCAGAGTGGGTGATGTTCCGAGAGATCTGTATCAAAGGAGTAAAAAGGGCGTCTTGTAGAGACTATATCCTGGAAGTATTCCATGGTATATCCACAAAGACTCACTGTGTCGGTAGCCAGAGGCGTTTCAAGGGCAAAGGGGTGAGTCAATTCTCTCATTACAGGCTTGTTTTTTTGCATCACTAGGGATCTAAAGGTATCTTTGGTCATTTTGTCATACCCTAGGATCCCTCTAATTTTTAGTCATTCTAGCCAATCAGTTTGTTTACGAATTTCCAGCTCATCAAGTTCCACTACTGCTTTGGCCCGCTTCTCAGTCCAATAGTACTCTAAACTGACATTTCGTTAAAACTGATATTTTTTATAAATTCACGAACGTGGACTTAGTCGAAATTTCATTGCTCATCGGGTGAGAAAGTGGTTATCTCACTTTCTCCATCTGATGTACCTCAACGTAAAGTACCGTTGCTATACATCCGATGGTCAGATCATCGGGAGTCACCACGACACCCGATGATCTGATCATCCGACGTCATGGGGACGAAAAAACACAAAAAAATGTTGTTTTTTTATACGCTTCATTTTGTGAATTTAGAAAAAATTATCAGTTTTAACGAAATGTCAGTTTCTAGGAAGGGGTCCGTGCCAGTATACGAATCTGTCAGTTCAATGGCTTTTACCAATTGTTTTTCTTTCCACGATCTGGAGGTTGCCTTCATTAGGGAGAATTCAGTCATTGTTGCTTGAAGGATTCATATTCCCACATCCACCCAATCTTCATAATCCTCAAACAGATCCTTTGCTTGATCCAAGTCTTTCATTTGGTTAGCAACCAATTGGAGGATCCCAGGATCTTTTAGTATTATGATATTGAGCCTGAAAGGCGGTCTGTTTCTCTCCACTATTTCTTTAGTAATAACGTCCATCACTACAGGGTAGTGATCTGAAACGGTGGCGACCTTGACCTTTGTCCACATACGTCGCTCCCATGTGTCCCCTCTTGCCAATATGTAATCCAAGCGTCTCTTTGGACGGGGGGTATACCGAGAGGGCCGCGGTCCTTGCCAGGTGAACCCAAAATTTTCAGGATTAAGTGTACGGTATGTATCTGTAAGGTTCTGGGATTCTATAAAGGAATTCAATAATATAACATCGTTCCGAATTGCGAACACCTTGTTGGAATCCAGGTCTGGGTTCAAGATGTTGTTCCAGTCCCCTAGCATTATGAGGTTCTCGGTGTCCGGGATAATTTTATGAAGGTCGGCAAAAAAATTGATTCTGGCTGTATATTCCACCAGGGCATATACCGTCATAACCGACCAATCCTCATCAGCAACTGATAATTTCATCTATGCCCATCGGCCCTCTGGGTCGCAGCAGAAGTCTATACTGTCTACCTCTAACTTGTTGTCAATCAGGATAGCGATTCCCCCTCTGGTCCCCATTGCAGGGGACCATATTTGAGGTCCTCTCCACCAGTTCATAATTTCGCCCATTTTCTCATAACCAATCTTCGTCTCTTGTAAACCAATAATATGAACCCCCTGGGCATGTACCCAGGAGGCTGCCCGTTGGCATTTAAGCCTATCATTTTGATCCCCCAAACCACGAACATTCCAAGTTGTCAGTCTGATCATATTTGGTAGGACCATCTTTGGTCTCGGAACCGCTGTGTTGGATGTGGTTCGCTTCTTCTCTAGAGACTTCCGAAGAAGAAGCTATAGGCGGCGCACATCCCCCACCGTAAAGTTTAGATTTTTACCCACCCTTCTTTTCAGCAGGGTTTCAGCAAAGGAATCCGTCAGGATCATTGCCCGGTTGTCCGACACTGACAACCAGTCTGCAACATTCAGTGCTGTAAGTCCTGAGACAAGTCTGATACTCTTCAGGGTATCTGATTGTGGTGCTGTAAGGTGCGTTAGCTCCACCCAATAAATTCTAAGATTGTCCCATCTTTCTTTGTTGTCCGTTATATGGGACAGATCTAGGAAGGCGAAGAGCAGACGCATTTTCCCACCTTCGGCGTGTCAACCAGGTATCGAGCCCTTTTCAACTCCGGCAGCAAACCTACCTCACCTAGGCTTTGCAAAAGTTGGAGTTTTACCAAGTTACACATCATTAACGGGGAAGGCAAGCTTCGTAAAACAATGGACGGAAGGACCAACGCTTCATCCTTACCCATGGTGGTAAGAAACCTGGGGAGAAGGGCATCATGGGCACATATTAGAGGTATAAGGTAGTCAGGCACTTGTCCTTTAGCTTTGTCTCCTCTGGTTAGTGTCCTTACCGGTGCAGATAGTGCTAAAGAGCAGCGGGCTGGCTTGGATGTCTGACCCCAACTTCTTTTCCGGGGAGAGTTTCTGGCTATATCCTCAGCCGCGCTGCCTGTTTCTTCTTCTATCAGGCGAGCCTGACTTCTTAGGCCATCAATTCTTGATCTTTTGACTGATGAAGAAGTTTGGACCTGTACCGTGGAATCTGTGGGGCGCTGCGTCTTCGAGCGGAAAGAGGCAGGGGTCAAGAAAGGAAGGGGAAGGGAAAGGGGGATTCTGCACCCTCTTTCTCTTGATTCTCCTCCTCATCTTGCTCACTACTTCTTCCTTTCGAGTCGTCTGACCCCCCTTCCGTAGGAGAGTAAAAAATTGAATCCTCTATGTCCTCTTTCTCCTCTCCTGAGGAGGGGGACAGACTCTCTTGTTCTGTAGTGACCAAAGTCACTTTATCATTAATTACTGTAGACAGCACCCGCATCTTATTCCTTACATCCGGTTCCTCATCCGAGGAGGGAACATTAGTATATATTCCATTGGTGTAGAGTGAGCAGTTTTGCAGTCCCCCCGTGGTATAGGGGGGTGGTGTAGAAATCGCTCCTGTCATAAAGTTTTTCTCCCTTGGGTTCGACGTTTGTCCGTTCGCTACCAAAGGGCTCAGAGCTGGGCCTGGGGGGGGGGGGGGGGGGGGGGCTTCCTCCTTTCCCTCAAATTTCTCCTTAGACTGTGGTGGGGAGGGGAGTCTTTCCTCAGTGAGTTTTTCCCCCCGAGGGGGTTCCTCTTCCTTCCCCTGTGTCTCAGTTACTTCCGCATCCCCCGCCCCTCTGACCTGTTCAATTGAATCTCCCCCCTGCTTTTCCCCCTGAACTCTCCATCCTACAAGGAAGGTGTTATTTTTCCTGTTGTCCTCTTCCCCCACCTTCCTCAGTCCCATCTTCCTCCTTCATTGCCACGTCATCCTTTTGAGGATCTTCATCCCCTTTCTCTCCCCCTTGCCCCGTCGCCTTCTGGAGCTCAGCCGAACTCTCAATATTCCCATCGACCTTTTCCTGATTCTCCATATCGCCATCCTCTTTCTCATTAGCAGGATTTTCCTTTTCCTTGTCCATCACCTTCTCCTTCTCCACCTCCTGCATCTTCTCCTTCTCTTTTACCCTCCCCTCCTTTTCCCCTCTTGAGTTGCTTGGCAAACCATCCTTACCCGGGCCCTTATGGGTTTTCTGTACGTTCTTCGTAGGGCAGGTGTCGTCCTTTTCCGAATGGAAATGTTGACGACACACCCTGCACCACGGGGTCTGGGCGTGGACCACTTCTAATTCCAGGTATCCCCCCTTCTTCATGTCAATCATAAGATATGGCTTGTACCGGAGTCGTGCCCCTGGTTCCAGGTCAAAACGAACATTCACGAGTTCTGGGGATGTCGATTTAGTGTACGTATCATGTTTCTTTAAAATTTTCCCGAAAGTTTTTTTGACCGCTGTGGCCAAATACGGCAAGGCAGCCACCGGAACGTACATGCACCTGACCGAGAAGAACTTAAACCTATGCGCTTCCCTCCATTCATAAAACTCGTTTTCAGACATCTAGGGGCGAAAGGAGACAGTATAACTTTTCCCATCCAACTCGATTTTGGCTTCTTTCTTCCTCCGCATGCATTCGGCAATTGCTTTGGCCGATGCCACATACGTGATTATATCAAAAACTTCGTTATGAAAGACCCCCCGTTTGGGAGCCGCCTGAATTTCTTTACTATTGGCCCAACCATTTTCATAAATACGAATAATACGTATTTTCACTGAGACTGGTAAAGATTTAGACTGACACTGCATTCTCGTTCAACCATTCCTCCTGAACTGCATACAGGGCAGGGTTGACCACCACTTTGACAAAGTCTTCCCGAACCTCATCGTGTTCAGGATTGAGCGAATCAGGGATCAACCCCTCATTATAACATTCGGAGAGGATTTCTTTGAACCTCTCCTTCTCCTGGAGACCCATCGGCGGGGCGGGTGAAACCTGCCTGGGTTGAGCTTCCTCCATAGCGACGAGAGTCGGCGTCGACAAACACACAAAAACAAGTATATAAAAGGTAGTCTAATAGATATACTAATATAACCTCAATTAGACAGGGATAAATCGGACGCATCAACTCTGAACATCCCCCCCCCCAAAGTCACGTGAGAGAAAGAGTCTTACAATCCATCTTCGACATTGCCTATTTGTTGACTCGTAGGTTTTACCTCCCTTCCGTCGACCACTCCATATCTTTTCGACGAAGGGAAACCTACAACCTTACCCCAGAGTTGACTCTGGGTCCTTCAGCACATATCATCCAATAGGCGGTCTCCGAAGCTGATGGCGTCGTCTGCAGCGCATGAGCACCACAGCCATAGCTACCTCGACCATAGGGCAGCGCGTCACAAAATTGCCCTAATCACGATTAAGCCGAAAGCCCCGCCAGGGCGGCGCTTCGTGCTCGCGATTAGCGCTAATTTTAGCGCCTTCCTAGCCGTGAAGGTGAAATTGAGAGGAGGAAAAGAGGTAAAAAATTGGTCACTCTACTCTCTTGGAAGGCCATCAGAGTTGAAACACCGAAGTGCTTTCCTCCAGCTGCGGAATCTCGAAACGTCCTTGTGGGATCCTGCGGGATGCAGCCCTTACATAGGTGTGGAGAATTTTAGGGGAACTCGAATGCTGCGAGTACGTGAATGACGTCGTCTTCGATGCAGTCGCCAGCTCATTCCTATGTTAGCAGGTGGGCGGGAAGGAGCACGTGGCAACGACAGTGCCGGTACAATTTGTTTTGTCGCAAATCTTCGGACGCCAAAAAAAAAATAAAAACAGAAACAAAAAAGAATGCTGCGCGGCGGACGCTCCGAGAAACTGCCCGGACCTATGTTCTCTTGGTACGGAGGAAATGAGGGGCCCACCGTAGGCAGATCTTGCGGCGGGAGCAGCGGGAAGCAAGCTTCGGGCCCAGCCCTCTTTGTTCTCCGAACCACAGGAGGCCGGAGGATCTGGGTCGGGTCCAGGTTGGCGCCGACGTTGTTTCTGTGTTTGATTTGATTTCTCGGTAGATTTCTCGGTCGAGGCTGTTCGACAAGGACAGCGTACGTGCGGGCCACAAGGGTGGGTCGGCGTGAGGCACATCACTGGGCCGACCTCGGCCGCGCGTTTCGCAATACTCGAGACGGGAGGGGGTGAGGAGGGGTGGAGGTGGGCGCAGAGCGCGCACGCGCTCTGGTGCGCTGTGTCGCCCCGTCCGCCCTACTCTTCTCTGCGGGTCACGCTCGCTGAACCATCTTGGCAGACATCATCGGGCTGACCTTGGCTGCCTGTTCCGCTCTACTCGTGGCGGGCAGGGAAGGGGCAGGGAACGGGAGATGGGGGCAGAGTAAGTTGTGCTCTTGCATTCTTCCGACCCCCCATTCTCGTCGTACCGATCAGACGCTGCGGCAGGGAACTCTTCTCCATGCCGGGTGGTCTAACTTCACCGTCTTCTCCATTTCTGCCTGCTCTCTTTTGGTTCTTGTCAGTTTATCTCCTCCTCCTCCTCCTCCATAGTGGATGCGACGAGGTGCCACCTCTAAGCGAACGCTGAGCGAAAGGCTACCCATCCCCGCCCTGCCTATCCCGGCCTTACGTCGTAGCTGTGCTGCCTCGGTGAGTATGGCGTGCCTTGCCCGAATTACAAACCTGCAGTGAAATGACAAATCAATCATCGGTACCCAAGAAGTCCTTTCATTGGAAGAGAAAGTTACTCTCCCCGCCTTGGACGAGCAGTCGGACATGAAGAGGTAGTGGGGCCGGCATTGTGGGATTGATTGACGATCTTGGCAGTGCACACGTGTCGTCATTGCAACCCCGTCACGGTCCTCCTTATCTTGAATGAAATGTCCCCTTCACGTGCCCGGTGCGCGGGACCCCGCTTCACTCTTTCCTTCCTCACCACTCTTCGGCTCCCACTCTTTTCCGTCTCCGTCACTCGTTGCTCCTCTTTGATTCCTCCTGCCTCCTCTCGCGTGCCACAATATCCCGGCTGTGTTCTGCGTTCACTTTGTTTGTCTCATGCTCCCCGGCGGTTCGGTTCACCTTTGTGACGCGTCGGAGAAATCGAAGGTTGACCCAGACGGTGTTCTTCTCTCCGACCCAGCTAAGTTTGATAGAGTGTGTCCCTCTTGTCGGCCGCATTCGCGGAGAAAGAGAGATGAATTGTGCACACAGGAGCCTATGAGCGCGAGGGAGAAGGGAGGGAAAATCGAGACCTATGATGGATGGGTTTGGCGGGAGAAGGGTGTGGGATGGGGCGATCTTGTATGTGACGGAAACAGGAGAGGGCTCGTGAAAAGGACATCTCGGAAGTATCGGACGAAGTAATCTGCAGGTCGATGGGGTCAGTAAGTGGGTGTGGTGGGGGGTGGAGGGTGGTTTACTGTTCGACACGGAGGAAGGAAATCGAAGCGGCAGAATGGGGAAGTGAGAAGAGGCTTTATGATGCCAAGAAATCTCCAGGGTGAAAAGGGTATTTAATGAAGCGATTTGTTCGTCTAATACGGGCATAGTTCGTAGATGAGGAGGCGAAGTGGAAAATGAGGAGGAGCAGGAGAAAGGTGAGGAGAAGAGGGGGATCAGGTGGTGGTTGTGTAGGTCTCCTTTCGCTCTCGTCCTCCTTGATTACTTATGCTTGCGGCGTTATTTTCTGTTGAGGACATACTGTGTGCATTTTTGTCTGCCTGCTTGAAAAGGTGAGGGAGGGAACTTAGCCAATACTCTCCACTCTTTCGGACGGGCAAACGTAATCGCTATCCTTGTCTCTCTCTTTGTTAAACTGATGTGCTCTTTCTCCCGCCGCCCCCCCGCCCCCCTCCCCATGTTGGCACTTTCAGTGTCCGTGTCTCTATTTCCCCCCTTGTGTATGTTTCCTTCCTGCTCCCCTTCAACTTCTGTATGTTTCCTTCGTGATCCTTGGTTCCATTTCTTATTCCTTTTGAACAACATATGCTCGGACAAAACTGCATTAGGACATTTACACGCATCGGTGTTATGCTCACTTGGATCGGAATTTTGTTAAGGAACAAAGGGTCGTATAGAATAATGCAGAATGCAGGGCGTGCAGATGGAGTTGAAGGCCCCAAGAACCACGGAGTGTTTATTGTGTGTGTGTGTGTGTCTGTGTGTGTGTGTGTGCGCTTGTGTGTGTGTGTGTGCGTGTGTGTGCTTGTGTGTGTGTGTGTGTGTGTGTGTGTGTGAGAGAGAGAGAG